CTCAGACACCGTGTGGACACAGCCCCAGGGGACCTCAGACACCGTGTGGACACAGCACCCAGGGGACCTCAGACACCGTGTGGACACAGCCCCAGTGGACCTCAGACACCGTGTGGACACAGCACCCAGCATGGTCCTCTTACCCTCGTCTGGTTCTGGAGAGGGATTGTGTGTCTGTTCCCTGTGTCTCTCTCTTGACCTTCTCTGTGTTAGAGAAGGCTGAGCCTCCTGCCCCCGACTCCTGCCCCGGGGCCTCCAGGCCTCCTACAGCAGGTTCCGCTTCCCTTCAGGCTGTGACTTCTCAGCCCAGCATAGTCCTTTTTATACAGAAAACTCGGGGTGGTTCACCAAGGGCATTTTCTTGTCTTTTTTTTTCCTCCCCTGCCAAGGAGGTGTGTTTTCCTCAGAGGACAAATTCTGCCATCACAATCTCGAGCTTCCCTCTTCAGACGGGTCACCTGTAGCATTGCTTCTCTTCTGAGCATGGATGACACCAGCCGTGTGGTAACGAGCGTATGCGAGATTTGCCCTGGTCCAGGGCCTTGGCCTTGGGAACAGGCTCCGTGGGGCTCTGCTCTCAGTCCTCAGTGACCCTCTTGCCCAGGGCAGTGCTCAGCGGCGTATTTGAGCAGATGTGAGGTGTCCCATTGGACGGACAGCAAGAAAGGGAAAACATCTACTTTCCAAACCGTCTTAGACCAGGTGAAAGAAAAATGGAGGATTTATGAAGCCAAACACCCTCTCCATATAGGAAACCCCTCCCTCAGTATGTTCGTTTCCCTACTGTGTTCTGAGATGCATCCCCTCATCTCCTACATGGTTTTGTTGAGCCACACGCCATCCCAGAACTTGGTGACTTTAGCAGTAGTGATTTAGTACGCCTCTCTGTTTTAGTTACTTTTCTGTTGCTGTGATACAAACACTACGATCAAGCTGCTTATACAAGTGTTTATTTGGGCTTACAGTTCCGGGAGATTAAAGTCCATAATGGCAGGAACACACATCCGAAACCTCACAGGGAATGGCAGGAGTCTTTTGAAACCTCAAGCCTGCACCCCAGTAACACATTTCCTTCAACAAGGCCACACCTCCTGATCCTTCCCAAACAGTTCCACCAACTGGAGACCAAGTATTCAGACATAAGCAAGCCTGTGGAGGCTGTTCTTATTCAAACCACCATACCATATCTCCCCTCCCCCACTTTCTGTGTATGGGTGGGTGGTGTGTATGGATGCACATGTGTACTCTCTATGGTTTGTGGCTGTGGTCAGCTGGAGGGTTGTAGGGTCTGTGCTCTGGAGGTATGATTTGTCACATGCAGCTGCTCCAGTGGGTCAGAACAGGCTTCTTTGTGCTGATGGAGGTGTTGAAGAGGCCTCAGCTGAGAGCTGTGTGGTCCTTTAAGGCTTGACCTTGTGAGCTATACAGGGTTTAAAGCAGTCCCAGGCAGGCCCAGGTCTGGGGTCACAGTCAACTCAGTGTTTGCTAGAGCAGTAGACACAGACGTGTGGAGCTGTGGCCCTGGGGTCGGTGCCTTGTTGGGGCCGTGTATGGTAGCACTCTGCTGGTTTGCCTCCTGCTGCCGAGGACCGCGTTCCACACACATGCACAATGCACTCCGCTCCTGCCTCCCCCTTCCCATGTGGTGCAGCAGCAGACTGCATCAGGCTGCAGCTTCTGTCTCTTCAGGGAGCTGTGAACTGAGATACCATCATCTCAGCCATCAGTGGCAAGACAGGAAGGTCTGACACAGAGTGTTGTCTCTTGAGACGAGGCGTGGGAGATGGTCTCTAATGGTTTCCAGCTCCCTCTGTCTTAGCTGTCTCATGGAGGAACAGACAACTCAGGCTGGGCAAGTTCCAGTTCTGGTTCTGTAGGTGCTGGGCAGTTCTGCTGGCCTTGGACTGGGGATGACCTCATGCATATGCCGGGACTTCATGGGGTCCAGGAACTGGCTGAGGGGACCGCTGAAGTGACATCATCCGCGATGTGTACAAGGGCAGGTGGGAGTCACAGGTAGGAACATTGTCCTGCCCTTCCCTGGCCTCTTCAGTGGTGGTAGGGTTTAGGTAAATTGGTAATGTTGTTATTATTTTTCAAACCTCTCAAAAGGAAGTACCGGCGTTGTGCATGAGGATGGAGCAGTTAGCAGGCTGCTGCCGCCTGTAGCTGTTGCTGTGCCCAGGCTGGCTTTCCCCCAGTTCTCAGGAGTCCTCTCTAAGAGTGTCAGGACAGTCTCAGAGAGAGGCTATTCTTGTGATTTCTAATGTGGGTCTTTCTTGCTGGTGTCTACGGAAACCAGGTTTTGTTGCTGCTCAGGGAGCATTTGTTGACTCTCAGTTTCATTGCCCCTCTTGGTGCCGAGCCTGTGGATAGAAGGGTGAGTGAGCATGGCCCCCAACTTCCTCAGCTTGATCTGGAACATAAGACAGAGCAAAAGAAGAGGGCTGTGAGAGGGCAGTTCAGTAGGGTGAGTGACACTGTGTGTCTGTGGGAGGAGATCATTCTAGAAAGTAAAGTGTCCTGGAGTTCAGGAGTCCTAGAAGCAGAGTGGGAGCTGACAGGTGGTGTTGGTGTCTCCACGCCAGTGGAGAGCAGTTCTTAGACTCTTCTGGATGCTTAAAAAGTGTGGATTGTATGCAACTCCCCCAACCCTCACTGGGCTTAATGATTTTCCCAGGTGATTCTCTTCAGCTGGGTGGGGGAAACACTGACCCGCACCCTGGACTCGGAACTGGCTGGCATCCCTGGGAGAAGGAACAGAGAAAGATTGGAAGACCTGGCTTGGGATCTGAGTGGTTTCCTTGATTGAGGGCCAGTGTGACGATTCATTTGGCACCAGGGGCTGGAAGAAGAGCTGAGGGCAGGCTGTGGAGGCCAAGTTACAAGGGGGCAGAGGGCGTGGCTGATGGGGCTCCCAGGAGGGCACTGTATCAGTGGGGACCAGCGTTGCCCAGCCAGCCTGCGGTGGACGGGGCAGGCAGGTGCAGAGGACAGGCAGGGACCTTCAGCAGAGAAGCGTGTGAAGTGGGAGGACGGCTGAGCCCGAATGGGGTGCTGCTTGTCTGTCCAAAGTGGGAGGAACCCGAGCGTGCTGCCCAGGGCACGGAGCCAGTGCAGATAGGTGGAAGGTCCAAAGGGTTGCTGCTGGTGAAGCTTTGCAGAGAGGAGGATGGATTCCAAAGGCCCAAGATTGGCGCTAGCCTCGAAGAAAAGGAAGGCCACCCCACTTTATCCTGGAGGGAAGGAGGTAAGAGGAGTTACTGCAGCTGCTCTGACTGGAGGTGATTCTGCTGAAGGAGGGACATGGGTGTCCCTCACCCAGGTCTGTCTGTACTCCTGGCTGCTTGTGTGATGTGGGAGGGAGCAGATGGACAGGCTGAGCTGGATGCAGGATGCTGCCCCCGCTTGCATTTTCCAGCATTCTTTGGGGATATTCCCAAAAATGACTTTGAAGAGTGCTTACCTAGTAAACTTGGCAAGTTTAAAAACGGGAAATTTTAGGGTTACCCACCAGTTTCTAAAACGGCCCCCACTTGAGGAGATTGCCCTCAGCTCTGAGAGCTTTCTCAGACTATCTTGGCAAATGAAGGGTCTTGGAAAACCGTGTGAGTGTCTGAAGACAGTGGAGCAGGTTCCAGGCCTGGAGACAGCAGCTGTCCAGGCCAGGGCTGCTGTCCGTTCCCAGCTGAACCACAGAATGTTGTTTCAAGTGCAGATGAAGGGGAATGGCTTTTCTCCTTGGACTTAGTGGGAATGTATTTAGCTTTTCTGTGAGACAAGGAGGTCATTTGCAGTCCTAGAGGTTTCTGTAGCAGTGTGTGACCGGGCTTTCCACGGTGCAGAGTGTGAGCGACAGCCCGTCTCCCCACGCTTCTTTCTTGTGGTGACTCTGGCGCACTGCACATGGTGTGTGCCACGTCCAGCATGCAGACTTACCTTAGCTGAATGTGACTCTGGTACCTCTGCCTCGTGTGAGAACGGGGCACCCGTGACTGTGAGTGTCTGGTTCTTGTCATACAATGGAGCGCAGCGAGGCTCCCAAGTTAAACCCTAGTAAGCCAGGTGCTTGGAACTTCAACTCTGAAGGCATGTGAGTGGCTGGCAGCAGTGACAGCAAGGTCATTGTCACGCCTGTGCCTTTAACCCACCCTGTCACTGCCACAGACAGCCTTCTTTCCTGGTCTTTCCCTGCCTCCTCCTCAGCCCCTCTTTGCTCTCTTTCTTGTCCTGTCCATCCGAGTCCCCCCCCCCCCCAAGTACAAATTCTTTGAAGGATTAATAATAGACTTAAGGATCAGCCGGCCGCCTTTTCTTTCTGTGAGAAAATGTGTTTACCAGACTGGCTTTGGGGGCTTCTGACACCCTTGGGAGTTGCAGGGTTTGGGTGCCACTGGCATTTTGCCCTGGGCAGATGACCTGCTCTGAGACTATCTCCTGTCCCCTGTTGTGACACCGAGCCCCTCAGGCAATTTCCAGATGTGACTGCTCCTGCTGAGAACCCTGGGACAGGGCTGTGTGGGTGTTGAGACCCAGTGTCCAGACTGTCCTTGGGCATGGGTGCTGTGTGTAGTCAGACTGTCCTTGGGCATGGGTGCTGTGTGTAGTCAGACTGTCCTTGGGTGCTGTGTGTAGTCGCACCTTCGGGCTGATTCATGCTTCAGTGCTCTAAAAGTTCTTTCATGGCAACAGCATTTGCGGGCAATGGGATCTGGATATTGTTCTGGTGAAGAGGTTAGCTGTAATGACAGCTAGTAGGGATGCGTTTATCGGGGGTTGAAATGGTCTGTTATAATTAGGTTGTGGTTTTTCTACCCCTCCCTGTTAGGTGAGAGCTGATTCACCTGTATTTTAGCAACTGTCCCTCTGGAGTTAGGATGCGATGGAGATGGATTGAGAAAAAAAGAGATTTTTTGCTTGGAGCAAATTTAACTTCTAACCTCTTCCCTTCCTTCCCTGCCTCCTGAATCCAGGACTCACACATACTAGGCAGGCTTTCTACCACTGATACATTGCCAGCCCCAGAGCAAGTTTTAAAATGAGCTAATTACCTATTCTGATGCATTTCAGTATACACTTCAGGTTTTGTTTTCATTATACAAAATGTGCATCGTGTTTGTGCCACACTCTGTGTTTAACCTACACATGTAGATGAGACCCAGGACTTGTAGATCCTGACCCTGAAAAACTGGTCCTTGTCACAGGAAGCACAGCAGTCCCTCCAAGGCCCTGGTCAACACAGCATTGTAGGTAGAATGAAGAACCAGCTGTGGCCCTGGGAGTCTGATGTCTCCTCCTTCTCTCCGCAGAACCTGAAAGCAGACCCAGAAGAGCTGTTTACCAAGCTGGAGAAGATCGGAAAGGGCTCTTTTGGGGAGGTGTTCAAAGGCATTGACAATCGGACTCAGAAAGTGGTTGCCATAAAAATCATTGATCTGGAGGAAGCTGAAGATGAGATAGAGGACATTCAACAAGAAATCACAGTGCTGAGTCAGTGTGACAGTCCATATGTAACCAAATATTATGGATCCTATCTGAAGGTAAGGCTTAAAAATAACGCTGCCTCCCGTTACGCCGCGCTTGGCCGAGTGGGGAGAGCGGACCCGGAAGGCTGGCAGCACAGCAGGTTTTCAGAGCAGGGAGAGGGCGAGCGAGCCTTTGACCTTTGCATCAAAGGACGTGGCTTTGGTGGCGTCATCATCATTGAAAATGTCACTCACAGGATTTTATTTTTGGTAAAAGCAGTTGGTGTTGACATTCTCTCTCGGAGAAGAAACTCTTTGAGTGGGGCTTTGTTGTTGAAACTGTTCAGTGTTTTATGACGGTGACCACTAGTCACTCCTGGGTGGCTGTGAGGAGCCACAAAGCCTCTTGCCATCCTCAGCTGTGTAGCTGAAGTAGCTGGTGTGTCCACACTCAGCGTGTGAGAATGCTGGTGAGGAAATGACCGAGTCAAGCGGCCGTGCCAGTGTGGAACACTGTGATGCCCCGGCCTTCCCCCGCTCTTCAGTGGTCAGGTTGAGTCAGTGCACTGGCTCTCAGCCCCTTTGGAATTGAACGACCCTGTCATGGGTCGCCCAAGACCATCAGAAAACGTAGATATTTACTTTAGGATTCCTGCCAGTAAAATTACAGTTACGAAGTACCAACAAAAATAGTTTTATGGTCGGGAGTCACCACAACATGGACTGTATTAAAGGGTTGCAGCATTGCAGGGTTGAGAACCATGGTATTAGTGTGTTCTGACCCTGCATGGAAGCCGTCTCTCATGGTGGGTGTCATAGGGTCATCTCACCACTAAGAAGGCTCGGTGATTCTTGTGTTCAGGCCCCTGGACAGGTGGCCACTCACTGAGAGAATAAAACTGGAGATTTAGAGCACTTAAGAACTGGTGCAAAAACATCTCGACAGGATTTCTGTGGAAGCCAGGACTTCTGTGTGGAAGCGCGAGCATTTTCCGAGGAAGGCAGCAGAGGCGAGGCCTGTCCCTCTTCCGACCGCCTGCTGGACACGTCTGCTCTGCTGTGGAAGCAGAGGGTAGAGTTTGGCTCTTGTGGGAACAAGATGGTTGTCAGTCTAAGGTTGGAAATGTTGAAATGAACATCAGGCGGTAGTGTTACTCTCCGTTACGGTGAGAAAGGACGCGGCCCATAGTTGCTGCGTTTATGTGGGTTTGGAACGGAAAGTGGTGGCTTCTCGAGGTAGGTGGCACTGGACGTGGATCTTGTCATTACTCACTTTTGGTGTGGGGCTGCTAGTGATTTTTTTTTTAAACATTCTGCTTCCCCATTTGTGAAATGGGGAAAACACGCGCTCTGCTCTGGACTGGATGTGACCAGGTGCTTCAGTCTTGCCCTTACTGCCTTGCAAGAGAGCTGTGACCTGGGATTGTGAGCCTCAGGAACCCATTTGTCCTCAGTTTCTTTTGTCGGGGTGTTTTATCACAGTAGAAATGAAAACTAGAGCAGTCGTGTCAGGGGAAAGGCCGCAGCCCGCTGCCCAGCGGCAGCCTAGATGGATAGGTAAGGCCGCAGTGGTGTAAGGGGAGAAGCAGCATGCTGCATCCATGCTCTGCACTTAAGTGGACACATAGGCTGGAAAAGTCTGAAAGATGATGGCACTCCATTTAAACTGATTTCACTATTGTTGCAGTGTTTACTTTGGGGGAAACTAAACATGCTGGGCTGTTCACCAGAGGCCGCCTTCTGCCACAGCCTCTACCAACCTGTCAACACAGCAGCACTGTACGCCAGGTCTAACGGGATGGGGTGGGCGGGGCAGGACCAGGGGATGCTGTGCAGGTGACAGACGGCAGCGGGTCAGTGTGGTTGGTGTGCAGCAGGACCCCGCCTGGCCCTGCTCCGTGCAGCCTCTCAGTCCATAGCCTGCTGCTGTGTTTGGGGGACCGCCAGCCTGCCAGGTCTCTGTGCTGGGGTTGACTGATGGTCACGGCCAGGGCTTTTCTCTGCTCCTCTGGCAGGTGCTCCACCAGGTGGCCTCTCAGGCTGCCCGTTCTGCAGGGTTTGGGAGCTTGTGTTTCCTGTGCCTGGCACATGGAGGGTTTTTGGCAAATAGTGACTTGAAAGCATTTTTTTTCTTTGTTTCAGATATTATCTCAGCCACATGACTCAGAATCCATGTCTGAAGTTCATTGTTATGTGCTAAAATGGGGTTTCTCCTGTCCTTTTAGAACCACTTATCTGGTCTCTGGCCTCATCCCAGTTCTAAAGCAGATCAGGTGTGGGGCCCTGATAAACGAAAGAAAAGTGTTTGCTTTTCAGATCTTTACTTGGTGTACTTTCTTATCAGAGTGTCACTATTAAGGACACATGCCCCACGGGGTCATTGTCTCATTGTGGCTTCAGGTCCTGGGTTTACACTGAGCTTTGTAAGCTTTTTTTTTTTAAAGCTAGTTCCTAAAAATTGTTAGGGTATTTTACTCACAAGATTCACCAGAAATTAATATTGAAAAGGTCTCTGATGAGTTCTGGGAAGGACCTATGCTGGTGAAGGCTCCGTGGTTTCGGGTGCATTCCACACCTCACTTTAGAGGGCTTTTCTCAGCCATAGTCCTCCTTTTCTTTTGTAAGTTGAAAAGTCACTTTTCTTGTTCTGGGGAGTTGTCCAGAGTCTTCTCAGAACTTCTGAAACTGCTCCCTGGTGCCAGCAACCTGGGTGGCCTGGGTGAGCACTTTGAAGCTCAGGGCTTGCACACGCCCCCAGTGACAATGTCGCTATCTGTACACCCCTGAAATGGGGATAGGTGAGCAGACATGTTCTTGTGGTACTTCTCAAATCGGTTGTCCTTTGGATGTAATGGAGATAGCCCCAGCTGGTGACAGTGGTCCTCTGCATCCTCATGTTGGTCACGACACCAGACAGGGTCTGACCTCAGATGGAGACTTTACCAGTGTATGTAGGTGCCCTCGATGGCCGCCTTGGGTGCCTTGAAGCCTAGACTGATGTTTTTGTAGTACCAAGGGAGTTTCTCCTTGCTAGTTTCTTCCAGCAGAACATACTGTGGTGATATTGTGTTCCCCAAAATATTGTGCACCCTAATAAACTTATCTGGGCCCAGAGAACAGAACAGCCACTAGGTATAGAGACCAGAAAATGGTGGCACACACACCTTTAATCCTATCACTTGGGAGGCCGAGATCCATCCGGATCTCTGTGAGTTCAAAGCCACTGGAAACAGCCAGGCATGGTGACTCAGGCCTTTAATCCCAGGAAGTGATGGCAGGAAGCAGAAAGGTATATAAGGCCTGAGGACCAGGAATTAGAGCTGGTTAAGCTTTTAGGCTTCTGAGCAACAAACAGTTCAGCTGAGATCCATTCTGGATAAGGACTGAGAGGCTTCCAGTCTGAGGAAACAGGATCAGCTGAGGAATTGGCAAGGTGAGGAAGCTGTGGCTTGTTCTGCTTCTCTGATATTCCAGCATTCACCCCAATACCCAGCCCCAGGTTTGTTTTTATTAATAAGACTCTTTAAGATTCCTGCTACAAACATACTTCGTGGTTTGAAAGATTGTGGGCTGCTTTTGATAAGTAAGCTCGGTCTGCATGTCCGCTATCCTCCCAGCAGGTGAGGGAGAGAGAGGAGCCAACTCCCAGGCTTCCTGTTCACTACTCAGTTATATTGGACTTGTCTTTTCCCCACCTGCCCCATGTAGGGAACTAGTTTCCTCTGGTGAAATGAAAACCAGTCATTTCACGCTTCAGGAAAGAGACAGAAAGAGGTGCTGGTGTGAGTGGCCAGTGTCTGTGACGGAGTATCTGTCCATCTCTGGTCTGGGCTTTTTCCTCTAGCATAGTGAATGGCCAGTTTCTTGACCTTAGATATTCTGAGTAGTGAGCACAACAGAATACCGTTAGCCCCTGTGTGTAAAGTTTGTGCTGGCTAGTCTTACGTCATCTTGGCACATGGTAGAGCCATTTTGGAAGAGGGAACTTCAATTGAGAAAATGCCCCTACCAGATTGTCCTGTGGCAGTCGGGCATTTTCTTGATTGGTGTGGGAGGGCCCAGCTCACTATGGACAGTGCCACCTGTGGCCTGGTGGTCTTGGGTGCTCTAAGAAAGCAGGCTGAGGAGGCCTTGAGGAGCAAGCCAGTAAGCAGTGTTCCTTCAAGGCCTCTGCTTCAGTCCCTGCCTCCAGGCTCCTGCCCTGACGTCCCTGGATGATGGACTGCAGGCTGTAAGAGGAAATAAACCCTTTCCCCCCAAAGTTGCTTTTGGTCATGGTGTTTTATCATAGCAATAAAAACTAAGACAGTTTCCAGGGGAAACACCCATAGTGCACTCTGCCTTGCAGGTATTGTATTATAATCTAAGAAACATTTTTATATCTGGAACAATTTATCTTGCCATGTGAAAAAAACGGATCCCGTTAGAACCTGGCAGATACTTTCCTCCCTTCTGACCTTTCCAGGTATTTTTTCCAGAAAGCCAATCCTGGTATTGTCCCAATTCCAGCGTATTTAGCAATATTACGGCTGCTCACTCAGGGGTGCGTCTTGTTTCAGTTCCATGTCTGTCTGTACAGACATCTACACCTAGGAAGTCTCAGCAAAGCACAGGCTCTCTCACTCCCGTCCTCGCTCCAAAGACAGAGTCCCACCATGTTTCTATTGGTGTGGAAGAAGTAAGATACTGTTTTAATATGAGTGCATGAGAGGTGATTGACATTTACTGGGACTGGAGTCACTGCACCAGGTCCCCATGTGGCGCAGTCTTGCCCTGTTCTGTGAGGGTGTTCTGTGAGCTATGTGAGTGTAGCCTTGTGGCACTCTTCTGTGTGGTGCGTTGGTTCCCGCTGACTACTGCATCGGTGGCCTTCCCTCACTGGAGGTCTGAGACCAATGTCTGTAGATGGTTCTGGTTGTCAGTGCTTCCGGCTTCTAGTGCGTGGAAGTCTGGGATCGTCTTGTATACCGTGTCGTGCATAGGACCACCCAAGGGCCAGAAGTCAGTGTGTGAGGTGGTAGCAGGTGCATTTCATTTTCATTGCTGAATGAGTTGCTGTGATGCAGCATCTAAGA